CCCGTCTCTACTAAAAAATACAAAAAACTAGCCGGGCGAGGTGGCGGGCGCCTGTAGTCCCAGCTACACGGGAGGCTGAGGCAGGAGAATGGCGTGAACCTGGGAGGTGGAGCTTGCAGTGAGCCAAGATCACGCCACTGCACTCCAACCTGGGCAACAGAGTGAGACTCTGTCTAAAAAAAAAAATATATATATATATATATATGTATTTTTTTACCCATAAAGTTACTCAAGGATAGAGAAATCACTATAAAACCAACCTTTACAATATAATAAGTATTTGATAATCAGTTACTGACTAAATGAATTAAATTATTAAGGAAAAGGAATTAAGATGAAGAGAAACAATACAAAGGTAACAGTTGACAATCATAATCATTTAATGCCCTTAAATTTGTAATAACTACTGAACATCTCTCCATGTTTCTATTCACTCCTACATCTACTGCACTGATTTTATATATAAACACATACGTAAATAAACCATGTACTTGCTTATCTATAATAAGCCACTCCAACTGAGTGGCTTAAAACAGTAAGCCATTTATTATTACTATTACTACTGCTGTTGTAATTATTAGTGAAGACCAAGTCATGCTTTGTCACCCAGGTGAGAGTGGGTGCAGTGGTGCAATCACAGTTCACTGCAGGCCCGACCTCCTGAGTTCAAGAAATCCTCCTACCTCACTCAGCTTTTGGAGAAGCTGAGACTATAGGGGTGTGCCACTATGCCCTGCTAATTTTTAAATCTTTTTTTTTTTTTGTAGAGAAAAGATCTCACTTTGTTGCCCAGGCCAGTCTTGAACCCCTGGTTTCGTGATTCTCCTGCCTCAGCCTCTCGAAGTGCTGAGATTATAGGCACGAGCCACCACACCAGACCCATTTATCATTATTGTCTTTCAGTCCTGAGGATTAACTGAGCTCAACCAGGCATTCCTTACTTGGTGTTTCTCCAGTGACAGTCACACATTGGTCAGGCTGGATCATTCCAATAGCTTCCTCGCTCACATGTCTGGTACCAGACCTGAGGAAATATGTAAAGCTTGGGACTGTAACAGCTGTGATGCCTGGGACTTTCTGTCCTTATGTAGTCTCTCTACATGGTATGCCCAGCATAGCTGTTTCAAGGTAACAGATGCCCTCTTACCTGCAACTCAAGACTCCAAAAGCATATGGGAAATGCAGGGAGGGAGGGAGGGTATGTGAGCATATGCCAGGCACAAGCTGTCTACTTTTATGACCTAGCCTCAGAAATCACAAAGTATTTCTATTTGTTGGAAACAAGTCACTTAGGGCTGTCCCATTTTCAAAGCAGGAAGTTAGATTCCATTTTTTTTTTTTGGTGGGGGTGTCCGAGGACTGTCACAGAAATGGCAGACATGGTGTGTGTGTGTGTTTTTTGGTGGGGGAGGGGCACAGAGTCTTGTTCTGTAGCCCAGGCTGGAGCGCAATAGTGCGATCTCGGCTCACTGCAAACTCTGCCTCCTGGGTTCAAGCAATTCTCCTGCCTTGGCTTCCCAAGTAGTTGGGATTACAGGTGCCCACCACCATGCCCAGCTAATTCTTGTATTTTTAGTTGAGACAGGGTTTCACCATGCTGGCCAGGCTGGTCTTGAACTCCC